TTATTGAGAGAGTTGGACTGAAATGTATTAGATTTTTTAAATCAACTGTTGGTAAATCAACAAAGTCTGTTATGGCCTCTGAAGCAACAGAGAGATGTTTTCTAATAGTCAGGGTTTCCAATGTTCTGAATGTACTTGAAAGTATTGTGTTATACTTAAAAAACAAAGTGTTATAGTTTACAGAAGGTCTACCTACCTATAGGCTACCTGAATCTCTGAAATGTACTATATTCCTAAATATGCTATTGCTACACTTTATGGCAAAAATTGCACTTTTCTGTTGGTCTTGGTTAAGAACCTCCTTGATAAAAATAAACAATGTTTTGTTGCTTAAGCTTATGTATTCAGTCATTATTCAATGGTATACTAAAATCCATGTGAAAAAAATTGCTTCTCACTGTTCTTAGGTCAAATATTTATATGCGATTAAAAATGCGATTAATTGCGATTAATTAATTACAAAGCCTGTAATTAATTAGATTAATTTTTTTAATCGAGTCCCGGCCCTAATTAAAACGTTATTCTAATAACTTAACTTGCCTTTTCGATTCTCCCTAAACTATTTATGCACTGATAAGTACACAATATCAATCAATTATGAAGGGCCCGTTTTATACAGGCTGGATCTTTTGTAACTGATTGAAGCCTCCACATCAATCAGAATAGCTTTACTGAAGGTGGATCATATATAATATTTATACAATGTCATTTTGTTTTACTTAAAACATATTGTTATTCATACGCGTCAGATTTTTAAGCACTTTATGTAAACGAAAGACATGGTCACTTCCTGTTTGTAATAGACAAATCCTTTCCCGTAGCTTAAATCTTAGTAAACTGTCACCTGCCAAATGTTAACTCCCAAAGATATGCGAGGCAGAAGGGTCAGCTTGACCTTTCTCTTGCTGTAAAGGATTATTGATTGTTTTGCGGCATGAAGAAATTAAAGAACGACATGAGAGCAAAAGCATGCACGGAGGGGAAGATAATGAGATGCTGGAAATGTTTCGCTTCAAGTCTAACCACGAGACTCACCGGCGGTCCCGAGGGTCACATCCCAGGGAGAGCTGATGGGCTGCTGGGGTCCCAGGGCCCCCCCCTCTTTGTCTGTGCCTTGAGCACCCACTCCAGCGAGAGTGCTGACTCTTCCCTCCAACAGGTCAATCTGCAACACAGACAAAGGTGTTAACATCAAGTGACTTTGAATTTATGAATAAATGGTTATTTAAAAGAGGTAGTTTGGAGTGCTACCTTTCTGATCAGGTGGTTTTCAGTGTCGGCCACGTATAAAGTGTCCCCTTTAATGGCCACGCCCTGAGGGGAGTTAAAGGAAGCTTCAGACAAGTCGCCATCTTGTCTCCCACTTTTAGGCCCTGGGACAGAAATGAGAGTCCAATCAATGTTACATTTTCACAACTCTTCCCCACTTATAGGTCATATTGAGCCCTGGAGTTTAATCTTTTTTCAGTATGTTATGCATAAAATCCTTTTTCTTTGCCAAGTTGTAAATGTTGAAACATTTTAACACATAGATGTATAAGGCTTTAGAGCTTTGATGGGAAATGTGTGAATCTTCAAAGCTTTATACGAGGTGTTCTGGCATTTAACGTGTATCTGTAGACCTATGTGCAATTGATATTGAAATGTTACTCAGCAACAGCAGTTTTAATTATTCCTTACATATCGAATTAAAAATATCCCTTTCAGTTAGCACTTTTCTATCTTTACCGCATAAACTTTAAGGTAAAGGAAACATGTTTTTTTGATTCTTAATACAAAGGATATGTACAGGCATACTTGCCCTTTTACAGCTGGAGCAAGGGTGGGCTTTCATGTAACAATAGATTAAAACATTGACTAAATCATTTCTAAAGTATGTATCTATCTATCAAATTTAATAAGTAAATCTTTAAATGATGTTTTCAACTTTTTATGCAAATATAAATGTTTGAAATTACTGTGTGCGAATAGGGATGAGTGGTGTCAACATCCACAAATATTACAAACAAATCATGCATTTTCCCCCCTCAGTTTCCCCACACTTAGGTCCGTGCCAGTTCCCAGCATGCACTGGTCCCTGTTGTTGCCAACCTCTCTGTTGGCCGGGGTCAGTCTACCATGAAGCTCCTCTGAGGGCTGTTGGGGCGTGTGAGTAATCTCAAAATATCAATGAGGCCTTAATATTGTTTTCATACAGATTATTTACTAATTTTCACGAAGCAAAAACAATATTAATTTTGTATCCACAACTGAAATAAATAAGCACATATTATAATATAAAGATGCCCCTAAAATGCGCATCTTAGTATTATTTTTGTAATACTTTTTTTTGCCTTTATGTATTTATTATAGATAGAGGTCAGATGGAACGGTAAGTGGGAAAGGAGGACATTCAGCAAACACCAAAGGTTGGATTTGAACCCTCGCCGCTGCAATAAGGACTCAGCTTTGATATACAGTGCATCCGGAAAGTATTCATATTTACATTTTGTTATGTTACAACCTTATTTCAAAATGGATTGAATTCATTTTGTTTCTCAATATTCCACACATAATACCCCATAATGACAAAGTGAAAACGTTTTAAAAGATTTTTTTGCAAACGTGTTAAAAATAATCAAATGAAATATCACATGTACATAAGAATTCACACCCTTTGCTATGACACTGAAAATTGAGCTCAAGTGCATCCCGTTTCCACTGATCATTCTTGATATGTTTCTATAACTTGTTTGGAGTCCACCTGTGGTAAACTAAATAGATTGGACATGACTTGGAAAGGAACACACCTGTCTATATGAGGTCCCACAGTTGTCAGTGCATATCAGAGCACAAACCAAGTCATGAGGTCCAAGGAATTGTCTGTAGACCTCAGAGACAGGATTTTATCAAGGCACAGATCCAGGGAAGGGTACAGAAAAACGTCTGCAGCATTGAAGGTCCCAACGAGCACAGTGGTCTCCATCATTTGCAAATGGAAGATGTTTGAAACCACCACGGCTCTTCCTAGAGCTTGCTGCCCAAACCAAAGTGAGCATCGGGGGAGAAGGACCTTAGTCAGAGAGGTGACCAAGAACCCGATGGTCACTCTGACAGAGATGGGAGAACCTTCCAGAAGGACAACCATCTCTGCAGCACTCCACCAATTAGGCCTTTATGGTAGAGTGGCCACAAGGAAGCCACTCCTCAGTAAAAGGCACATGAAAGCCCACATGGAGCACCTAGAGGAATCTCAGACCATGAGGAAAATTAATTGTCTGGTTTGATGAAGCCAAAATTGATCTCTTTGGCCTGAATGCCTAGCATCATGTCTGGAGGAAACCAGACCTGGCCAATACCATCCCTACAGTGAAGCAAGGTGGTGGCAGCATCATGCTGTGGGGATATATTTCAGCGGCAGGAACTGGGAGACTAGTCAGGATCAAGGGAAAGATGAATGCAGCAATGTACAGGGAGATCCTTGATGAAAACCTGCTCCAGAGCGCTCTGGACCTCAGACTGGGGCGAAGGTTCACCTTTCAACAGGACAACGACCCTAAGCACACAGCCAAGATAACAAAGGAGAAGCTTCGGGACAAGTCTGTGAATGTCCTCGAGTGCCTCAGCCAGAGCCCAGACTTGAACCGGATTGAATATCTCTGGAGAGATCTGAAAATGGCTGTGCACCGACGCTCCCCATCCAAGCTGATGGAGCTTGAGACGATCTGCAAAGAAGAATGGGAGAAACTGCCCAAAGAAAGGTGTGCCAAGCTTGTAGCATCATACTCAAAAAGACTTGAGGCTGTAATTGTTGCAAAATTTGTTTCAACAACGTATAACGAGTAAAGGGTGTGAATACTTATGTGATATGAGTTTTTGAATTTTTTTTATTAATTTGCAAAAATTATTTTAAAACTTTTTTCACTTTGTCATTATTGTGTCTAGAATGTTGAGAAAACTAATGAATTTAATCAATTTAGAAATATGGCTGTAACATAACAAAATGTGAAAAAAGTGTAAGGGTATGAATACTTTCCGGATGCACCGTATGGTCCACCTGCTCTAACATTTCAGTTATCTGGGCAACCACAAGTCAGTATTTATTGGAATAAAAACCCACTGCACTATCTCAGGAACTGTCTCATTGCCATCTGATCTATTCCTTAATGGACATCTTGTGATCCCACTAAACCAACTCAGACATTTAAACCTAATAAACTGCATATCTCTTCCCTACTCCTTACCTCCAATGACATGTAACAGCTCTCCGGTGGACGACACCACCAGAACCCGGTGATGCCCAGTGTCTGCTATGGCCAGTCTTTTCCTGTTGTTGTCTACGGCGACCTTTCCAGGAAAAGACAGCACGCTGGGGGGCAGGGAGTCCCGGTACAGCTTGATGCCCACTGTGTGTGTCTTCAGCAGACCCTGAGCCCCGTAGTGACGGAGGGCGAGGTCAGTGAAGAGCGTCAGCCTGTCGCGGTGGCCCTCGCCCACCAGGGAGAAGAGCAAGTTGCCCCGGGGTCCCAGGAGGACTAGGGTGGGCCAGCAGGACACCTCAAGGTCATGCCACAGGCGCGCCTCGCTGTCGTTCACTACCGGGTGGCAGATGTCATAGCGGAGCACAGCGCTGCGGACGTTGTCGAGGACCTGGAAAAAGGATCGAGCAGGCGTGAAAAATGAGCTGTAAATCTGTTGCTGAAAATAAGGGCTATTCTTTAATAATTCAGGGTATTTTTCGTTATCGATTTAACTACCAGGAGTCCAAAGTGACATTGAAGTCCTGACCAAAAGCCCCAAACTGAAATATGTACACTGTTATTTATGAAATAAAAGCATCAGTGGCATAAGATGATAAGATAAGAAGTGCTTTATTGATCCCAATTTGTGATTTCTTTTGCGTTGCAGCAGCATAAAAAGACATGGCATTGTACATAAAAATTAAAAGACTAGATATAAACATTCCAAAATGGAAACATCTCAATGCAAATAAAATAGCATTAAAAAAAAAAGTTGAAAATATACATGTTGAATTACAAATGCACAATAACTGGCCAAAGCTTAATGAAGAAAATAAACATATAGTCCCATGAGGCTTAAGAAGATTTGACAATGTTTTTCTAGTCTATAATCCTATAAAACAAAAGTAGTCTTCATGAGGCCATCATACTTAAAATCCCCCATTATCTTGATATTATTCTATTAAAAACGAGGCACAAGCAGAAAAGCCTATCCACAGGTCAAAATGAGAATGAACATGAAAACACTTACCTTTTCATTGGGGAATTTAGCTGAGTGCACACCAACAATTACCAATCCGTCTGAAAAGGGGATTACACAGAAAGAGAGACAAAAACAAAAATAAAAGGGTCAAATTTAACGGTGCAGTAAGTGGTTCGACTGAAATAACAATTTTAGACGTTCTTTTTCCTCAAAAAGAAGCACAAAGTCTGTATGTTTGCGTGACAGTAACTTAAAGAAAAAAGGTCAAAAAGACGCAAACCTCATACGCACAGATGCATGTGTCGAAAATAATTGAGGAGAAGCAGAGAAACTAATGAGTTTATCAAATGAAAACCAACAGTTTCTTGCTTTGTTATCAAGTCAGTGACCCTCCAACATAATAATAGGTTGACCTCAGTGACGCTCTTTGAAATGTTTCAGCGTCTGGGAAATTGTGTTTCTCAGTAGTGCTTGAAGATTACCACTATTAATACGTGAACAAACAATGAGAACAATTGGCCAGAACTACTGCCTTTTGACACTTGGACCATAAAGATGGAGGTTTTAAATGTTATGCAACAGAATAGCCCCAAACTGTGAAAAACAAGCATGATTGTGGAACTCACTTTTTGTTTCTAAAAAGATGACAAAACAGATTCTGATTCTGAATCCAACTTCAATCAGTGTGGGACTTTCTATTGAAACACAGTCACTCTTGTAACCATGTAAACCTGAGGCATTATGCAACAACAAAGGGTCTAATTGCTTTGTATTCACTGTGGAAAATTAAATGAATAATTAAGCTGAGACAAAACAATGAGTGAGTTTCCACAACTATCACAATCTTCTTTCTCTACTTTATTTAAAGCACTCGGAAATAAAAGAGTGTATTTTTATATATAACACCACAGGCCTGTCCAGTGGAAATAAAACGAACAAAAGCCCTTTTCCATAAACTCACATCACTGAGCCACCCTCAACAACCTTAAGACTCGCAGAGGATTTCATCACCCATGGCCTCTGCCAAGCAGTACAGCAGCAACACAGATTGCAGTGACGATGGGTGGGTGGGTGGTTTGTTTGGGGGGTAGGGGGGTATGAGGTCTGTGGGAGTGACTGTTCAGGGTGGCTCCCACACCTCACTGACCAGAGCAGCAAACAGAATGTACCCACAGCAGTGCCAAAGATAAGGCGAGTGAGATAGTGTGTGGTGTATGTGCTCTGCGTATATTCAGAGCTGCACAGCTTCCTCAGATGATCCCGTAAAGGGCCAGCAGGATGTGATGCTTTACATGGAGTGGCTATATAAAGAGCCATACGGTGAACTGCAGCAGGGTACAATTATGGTCCCTGTGAGCGCCAACTCGGAAATATTTTTAGTTACTGTCTCTTCACAGTTTAGATAAGGGCCCTCGGGCGCTCAAGCAAGAAGAGGAGAGAAGTTGATGCAGTGCAGCTTCTCAGCCTCAGTGAACGTACACATGTTCCCGTGACGAAGCATGACACATAATAAGATTGACACCAAATTGAATCGTGTTCCCTTCAGTCTCTCAGCCCAATGCTGATTTCTTGTTCATTATTGGATAATCAGGTAAGGGAGAAATGTGATATGAAAGCTTTACCAATGAGCATGTTCTCACTTACTTTGACTATTCCACCCGTTCACATAAAGAGCCAATTATAATTTTGTATTAGCCCGAACTTGATATAGCTACGGTTTGACAATCATTTCTTAGTTTCTATTCACATGGCACAGATACATTGACCCCTCTAGGTAAGCTGCTAGCCTCAAGCCGTGCTACAGATGTCTGGTAATCCCCTCTTTTTAACTCCATACTCTCAGATATTTCTCATTTCCACTTTATCAGATTTCTCGTAGTTCCCTTTGAAGCCACTAAAGGATTATTACTTTAAAATCACATCAAGGAGACACAGTTTTTACCGATTGCCTTGATCCTGCATTACCATGAACATGAATACTGTAGTTAATCCCATGCAGACTGTGTTGGTGTAATTATACCTTAAAGCAATGCCTTAAAAAAGTCACACACAAACACACTAATCAGCCCTGTTTGAGTAATTTTGCTTAAAACTACAAGACAACGCAGTTTTATGAAACTACTGAGCATTTATTTATGTTTGTCTTCTTGGGATGAGGGTCACACACAATGTATAGAAGTCAAAGTAATGAGGGACGGAAAAAAGGTGGTTATCTTTTTAGTATTTTTCATTAAATTGGGATGTGAGAAAGGAAACCCAAATACACAAATAATAGAAGGAAAAAGGACAAACATTGAGACAGTTTTTCCTTCTGACTAATGGCGTACATCAACTAGGGATGCCGGAAACTGACCATGATCAAATTCGAAAATCGGACAGCCCTGGCGAATATTACGGTAATCGATTATTCGCCGCCAAGTTTACAGTAAAACAAACTGGTGGTGTGACCAATGGCCATTTACAATTATTAATACTATTACTATTATTAGCATTAGTCTATATTTTGGTTGAAACTAAGCCAACGAAAAAATGAAAAACATAAATAATAATAAAAAAATATATAAATAAAATCGAATTAAAAAAAATAATTTTCGATTATAGAGACTAACGAAATATTCAAAAAATTGAATAATCGCTGCCATCCCTAACATCAACCTGACCAACTGTGCTTGCCAAGGTGCCCTGTAACAACAGACTTCACATGAATATGAAAAAAAAAATCCCTCATTATCATAATGCAACTCATAAATTCACTGGCACATCATTTGTTATGGGCTTTGCTTGTGCATAACTTAAAATCATGTTAGAGGATGATGAGAAGTCTACTGGGGAGGATCGTCCTATATTCCCACATCAGTGAAATGGAATATTTGAATAACAGCAGTCAAAGCCAGTGCTAGTCCGTACCTTTGGCCGAGTGCTTCTCCTCCAGCTGGTGCAGGTCAGGCAGGATGTGAATGCAGTTGATGCAGCAGTAGGTGAAGAAGTCCAGCAGCACCACTTTCCCATCCAGCTCCTTGTTCAGAGACAGAGGGCCCTCCGTGTTCAGCCATTCCAAGCCTGGAGGAAATCACAGAGTAGAAAATGATGCGGTCAAACTATTCATTATGTTTAGTCACAGAACCGGCAATTTGATGGCTCAAAGCAATGACTTGGAAACGCGTACAGATTCAGCCGTGTTATGAAGGTATTAAAGCTTTCAAGTCATTCCTGTAGATGGAGATTCTTTTTTTCTTCTTCTTACAAGTAATCAAATACACTGAAGATTGTGTATGATAACATTTGTCACACTTGACTCACATGCATGTGATTAATATATTTTGAAAACATACTGAACCTCACAATTCAGCCTTAAATACTTGGAAATATAAAAAAAAAATGTATCCTCCACATAAACTATTTAAACTTGTTTTGCGATATGTCCTTTCAAAGAACCTTAGTTTCAATATCACCTGAAGGAAACGATATAACAGCCATACGTTTTATTTATTCCATTTACTTTTACAAACACTTTATTTTATTAAAGTGAACAACAATGGTGTTTTGCAGTGTTGTTGTGTAAGGTACCTCAAGTTGAGCCTTATTTTAACAACACTTTATATCCCAAATAAGCAATATATACAGTGGGGCAAAAAAGTATTTAGTCAGCCACCAATTGTGCAAGTTCTCCCACTTAAAAAGATGAGAGAGGCCTGTAATGTTCATCCTAGGTACACTTCAACTATGAGAGACAAAATGAGAAAAAAAAAAATCCAGAAAATCACATTGTCTGATTTTTAAAGTATTTATTTGCAAATTATGGTGGAAAATAAGTATTTGGTCACCTACAAACAAACAAGATTTCTGGCTCTCACAGACCTGTAACTTCTTCTTTAAGAGCCTCCTCTGTCCTACACTTGTTAACTGTATTAATGGCACCTGTTTGAACTCGTTATCAGTATAAAAGACACCTGTCCACAACCTCAAACAGTCACACTCCAAACTCCACTATGGCCAAGACCAAAGAGCTGTCAAAGGACACCAGAAACAAAATTGTAGACCTGCACCAGGCTGGGAAGACTGAATCTGCAATAGGTAAGCAGCTTGGTGTGAAGAAATCAACTGTGGGAGCAATTATTAGAAAATGGAAGACATACAAGACCACTGCATACAAAACTCAACTAGACGTGTTTGGAGGAGAAAGAATGCTGAGTTGCATCCAAAGAACACCATACCTACTGTGAAACATGGGGGTGGAAACATCATGCTTTGGGGCTGTTTTTCTGCAAAGGGACCAGGACTACTGATCCGTGTAAAGGAAAGAATGAATGGGGCCATGTATCGTGAGATTTTGAGTGACAACCTCCTTCCATCAGCAAGGGCATTGAAGATGAAACGTGGCTGGGTCTTTCAGCATGACAATGATCCCAAACACACCGCCCGGGCAACGAAGGAGTGGCTTCGTAAGAAGCATTTCAAGGGCCTGGAGTGGCCTAGCCAGTCTCCAGATCTCAACCCCATAGACAATCTTTGGAAGGTGTTGAAACTCCGTGTTGCCCAGCGACAGCCCCAAAACATCACTGCTCTAGAGCAGGGGTTCCCAAAGTGGGGGGTCGCGAGATGATTACAAAATAAAAATGGAAAATAAAAAA